CCCCTAAACCCTAAAGCACCCCCCACCCCACCCACCGTAGGGATGAAGGCCACCGAGCTGCGCACAGCGCCCCCAGCATCAAACGCCGCCGGCACCAGCCGCCGCCCCCAACCCCCCAGCAGCCCCGCCCGCTCATCCGCCCCAGCACCCCGGCCCCCGGCCGCCGCGTCGCCCGCGTCGAAGCTGCCGTCCGAGCCCGCCGCCGCCGCCGCCGCCGCGCCGGGGCCGCCCGCCGCCGCCCACTGGGGCAAAGCGCCAGCACCTGCGGCGCCGGCCGCTGGCGTCGCGCCGTTGCTCCCCAGGAACGAGGGCAGCGGGTACATATCTTGGTGTGGGAGGTCAAGGGAATCTAGCGCCACCCGCCGCAGCGCGGACGGCTGGCCGGGCGCGCCGCCGCCCGCAGCCGCGGCCGCCGGGGGCACCGCCAGGGGCCCGAAGCCGGCCAGCGTCGAGGCGCCGCCGATGCGTTGAGCCTGCGGGTGAGCTCCGCCGTTGTCAAAGCCGGCGTCTTGGGACTGCCCCGAGCCATCCAGCATTGTTGGCCACAGCAGCGCCGGCGTCTCCGCCCTGCCCTGCTGGCCGCCTGCGCCGCCGCGCCCGTCGCCCCGCAGGTCAAACCCCGCCCCGTCGTCCCTCGAGCTGCCGCTGCTGCCGCTGCCGCCGCTGCCGCCACCGACGTCGCCGCCGCCGCTGCCGGGCGCCCCGGGCCCGTGCTGCCCATCCCGATGCAGCCGCCAGGCGTCGAGCACGCCGCCAAGCCCGCCGCGCTGCTGGCGCCGCGCCGCGCCGCTGGCGGGGCCGGCCAGCTCCTCGAGCTCGCGTATGGAGAGGGTGGTGGGCAGGGGCTTGTATTCGTCGACAGCCACGTTTGTGGGGCGGCAGATGACCAGTTGGTCCGCCTCCCTGATCTGTAGGGGTCAGTGTGGTGTGGAGATGGGGGAGGCGTCGGGAGGGGGGGGGGTGGTGAGGATGGGCGCACCAGGAGGGGCGTGGGTGCGAGGAGGTGTGAAGGGGAGCGGTGGGCGCCCGCGACAATGTGAGCGGCTGTTATGATCAGGGCTGCAGCGCCCAGGGCGCCCACAGGCCGGCTGCCCGCTGCCTGGTCGCCCAGTGCCCAGCACGCGTGGGCTCGCGCGGCCTTACAGGCTCGCCGTCCTGCACGCATGGCATCGGGCCTGATATCGGGCCCGGCATCAGGCCCGAAGCCAGCTGCCGTAGAGCCGGCCCCTGACCGGCCTCCTGGGCTCAAAGGCGTGGGGAATCTGCCAGTGCAGCAGCGCACCACGTAATCAATGGGAGGGTTCAGCTCCACCACGCCCCTGTCGATCTGCGCAACGCCATAGACCGAGCCGTCCGGGAAGCGGTAAGCCAGCTCACCAAACCTGGGGGACCGCGGCGGTTTGGTTTTGCAGGGGAGGGGGGCAGCGGTGGTGGATTACTGCAGGGGGCCGGCTGCAGGCCCCGTGGGTGGGTGGACGGCCGTGGGAGCATGGCTTGGATGGCGCATGGGGCACACAGCATGTTCGAGGGTAGCATCGAAGGGCTTCGAAGGCACCCCTGGCCTTCCGCTGCGGCCAGCACGCACAGGCCGCCGCGGCACCCGCATGCACCCGAGACTCCCAGGCTGCCGCAGCCGGGGGGATGCAGGCGGAGCCGGCCGGGCCAAGCTGCGGGCGCAGCGCTGCCCGCCGCCGCACCCACCTGCAGCCGACCAGGGATGGAAATGACTGGACGTAGTTGGTGCTCTGGTTTTCAAAGTTGAACATCCGCTGGGAGACCTGCGGGCCGGGTATGACCAGGCAAAGGGGTCCTTTTGAGGCGGACGGGCGTGGCTGAGGCTCGCCGCGGCAGGGGCGGCGGCGGTCGGCGAGAGCGGGGTCTGTGGTGGGGATGTACCTGTGCTGGCGGAGGCGGTGTGCGAGACCTGGGCGAAGGCGCTGCCAGGTGCGCTCGCAAGGTGGTGTGAGATGCAGAGGGGGTGGCGAGGGTGGGCTGCATGCTCACCCAGGAGATGAAGGGGCGCTTCACCATCTTGGAGAGCTGCACAGCAGTATAGGGTAGGAGGCCGGGGTGGTGGTGAGGGGGTACGAACAAAACAGCAAGCAGTCGCATGAACAGTTGCGTTGACGCGGACCAGCCCATGGAGGCGGCTAGCCGTCATGCCCGTGCTCTTGAAGGGGACGCCGCAATGGCCGTCGATCAGCACGCCGGCGGCGGCGCGCCCGCACGACGCACCCACCCTGCGCGCGTTGAGCTGCCCCGTGGGCAGCGCTACGACGCGGGGGCTGCAGCTGTAGTGCAGCAGGGGCAGGCTGTTCTTTGTCTGGATCTCTGCCACGACGCTGCGGCGCGAGATCAAGGGAGGGGTGGGAGCGTATGAGTGTGTGTAAGTGTGTTTGTATGTACGTGTGTGTTCGTATGACATATTGTGAGCTCGTTCAGGTGGAACTGCGGGCCAAGGTGATCAGGACGCGGCACGTGGGAGGATGACAATGGCAGCGATTTCCCAGACAGAGAGGATGAGTGATTTTGAGAGGTACGGAAGCAGTCAACGTTCCACCCAACCGCGTAGACCTGCCCGACAGCATGACAGGCCGCCCGATCGACCAATTTCCCGCTCGGCCCGGCCCCCTCCTTGCCCCCCTTTCAAAAGGCCGCCGCTCACTGGCCCATGGCCGTGCCGTGGCGCAGGCCCACGTAGCCGTCCAGCTCGTCCAGCAGGATGGCGCACCGCACCACCTGGGCGTCCGCCTCCGCGGGGCTCCTGAGGATTCATAAAATGCCAGGGGTCAATATCTCTACGGTACTCTTTCCAGTTGGCCCCACCTTGAAAAATGCACTGTTTGGCCGCAACCCTCGACCATGGACAGCCACCATGCAAAACCCAGGATAATTAGTCTGTGATGCGCGTTCAAGGCTGCGGGCAGGGGGGGGGGAGTGTGACATCGCTTGCCCAAGGACCATGCGCGCGGCGGTTTGACTGCGGGCGCATAACCCACCGCGACTGGTCGCTGATGATGACGGTGGCCCCCGCCCTGCTGGCGGCCACCAGGCGCAGGTCGGCGGGCACCAGGGGGCTGCCCTGCCGGAATACGAGGCGCGTCCCGTGGCGCGCGCGCTCCGGCACTGAGCGCCTTTGATTTGAGGGGGTATACAGGGCGCAACGGCAGCACGGACGGCAGCATGAGCATTGCGGGGCATTTTGAGTGGGAGCATTTGACTCAGAAAAGGAAATGCGGATGATGGCAAGCTGCCGTCCCGCAGCAAAGCATGAGCGCCGCCGTCGCAAGGCGGCGCGGCTTTGATGCAATGGCGGCGGGGTGCGGCCCGTATTGGGAACGCCGTCTGCGATGGCAGCGCGCATGCCTGCTGTCGACGAGCACTGCAGACGACTCATCACCTGAAGAGGTCCTCCATCTCCAGCTTCTCGCGCTGAGTCATCACGACCACCGCCGTGCCGCCGTCGTGGCGGTACGCCAGGCAGATCTGCAAATGGATGGCGCACGCCGCACCAAGAGATCACACACCAATTGGGATTTGCAAATCACGCAGGTTTTGGGGAGTGCAGAGCCTGAGGCGCCACCCGCAGGCGCAGGCGCGAGGGAGGCGCGCGGCGTTGGGCCGGTCGGCCAATGATGATGCGGCGAGCTGTGCCCGGGCAGGGCCGGTCCAAAGCAGCAGCCCGCGCACAAGCCATGGGAGCCGCGGAGCACCCCTGTTTTCTCAATGCTGAACCTGCAACACAGTCTGTATTCGTGGTCTTAGGTTGGCTCGTTGTAGCGAAAGAATCACCCCAAGCAGCAGGCCAGCAAGGGTTGCTGTGTGGCTTCTTGCCCGCTTCCCAGGTGGCATCCCCTCCCCTCCCCCCCGCCTCCCCCTCGCGGCCCCACCTGCTCCACCACCTTCATCACCATCTCCAGGTCCCGCTGGCTGTTGCACCACCCCAGCACAAGATACTGCGCGCAGGGGTCGGAGCCGCCAGTGCCGCCGGGGCCGCGCGAAGCGGTCGTGCAGTCAGACTGGCAGGCAGAAGCTATCTTGCTGCGCTGCCTGAAACCACCACCTCGTCACACAGGGGCAGCCGGCGGCTGGCGTGCGCTGCAGCGTGGCGCCCGCGCAGCAGCAGGCGGGATGGGCGGCGCCGCGCGTGCTCACGTGTCCTGTCTCGTAGACGCGTGATCCCCTCTTGACGTTCCTGTTATTTGCCTCGAGGACAACCTGTGGAGGGGCGGGGCGCGGGCAGTCGACCAGGCAGTGGAGGCAGGCCGCGAGCTCAACTCAGGGGCGCCCAGCTGCCGGCGGCTCGCTGCGGCCTCCCAGCCCGCCGCGCCCGCCAGGCGTCCGTGATGGATTGAGTCGCCTCGCCGGCTGATGTGCGCCCGGCGATCTCGCGCCCGCGGGATCCAGCCGCCAGGCCCACGTTTCCAGCTGGGCAGGCGCCCCTGGCCGTGCAAACGTGCTCACCTGCTCAACCAGAGCCAGCACCAGAGCGAAGGCCGCCAGGCCAAAGACGGCCACCATGACACTGAACAGCTGCTCAAGGGGATCCGCGTCTGCCGAAGGGGAGGCGGCACGGCCGGGAGACGCCTCGTGGGTCCGACAACTCGGGGCGGTGAGGCGTGTGGGTCAAGTGGGTTGAGTGCGCGGGCCACGGCACGAGCTGAGGGCGAGACAGGCCGAAACAAGAGCATGCCTGCAGCGACCAGGGGCGTGTATTGCCTGGCGGCTCGCTCCGGCCTCGCTGCTTGCACCGTGCCGCAACATGAGACCCCGCTGCCCCCTCGGCGCAACAGCTCCTCTCAAGTGCGAAACACTCCCCCCCCTCACACCCTCCGCGCGCCCACCGCTGGCTGGAAAGTTCTCCCCAAATGAATTTAGCATCACAGTGTACGCGTCCTGCCACCAATCCAGCGCCGCCGCCGGCAGGCCCCCGCCAGACCCCGCGGCCGCCTCGCCGCTGCCGCTGCCGCCGCCCACGGCTGTAGCCGCCGCGGCAGCCGCAACGCGCGCTGCGAGCAGCTTGTGACGCGCCCATGAGCCCAGCAGCAGCAGAGAGGTGCTGAGGCCGACAATGAGCTGCAGATCGTTCAGCGTGTTCTGGCGCCTGCGCGGCAGGTGCCAGGGAGGCGACACGCGAGTGCGAGCGGCGGGGCACCTTGGGAGCACGCCCAATGCACCGCCATGTCGGGGCATGACAGGCCCCAAATTTAACGCATGGCGCCGGGCACTTTCGGCGCCATCAGAAGCCGCTGGGTTGGCAGCTTGTGGGCCTCACCAGAGGTAGTATCTGTAGAGCAGTCGCCCGATGACATCAGCAAGCTTCTCGCCGCCCCCGGCGCCCGCGGCTGCGACCTGCGCCTCCCGGGCCGCGACGTGCGCGGGCGGCGTGATGGAGCGCGCGCCGCGGAAGCGCGCGACGTCCGCTGCGCCGCCGGCGACGACCGACCACGCGCGGCTGAGGAGCTCGCGGCGCGCGTGCTGCTGCAGGCGCTTGCCGCCGCGAGCGGGGCCATCGCGGCTGGCGAGCGCGGGCGGCCGACCGCCTGCATCGTCAGGACTGGCGCTCGCGCCTCCAATTGGGGCATCGTTGAAGCTGCCATTGCTGCCGCCTATACTGCTGGCGCTACCGTTGCCCAGGGCTGCGCAGGTTGGGGCGGCAGGCAATGTGCAGCTGCGGCGGCAGCGCAGCGGCAGGCACGGCCGGTTGCATGCGAGCACAGCTGGGCCGTGTGCTGCTACTCGACCACATTGCATGCTCTTCATTCTGAGCATTGTCTTCTTCAGCCCGCTAGCATGTCAACGTGGACGTTCAATCAAGGCCGGCGTCGATCTACAGTACAAAGCATCCGCTGAATGCGTATCTCTTTATAATACTTGGGTTTTCAGCGTCGGCATGGTCTCTGATGGTTGGGCATCATCCGCGGCTTGGCAGCATGGCCGTTCCTGCCCCCGCCATGTGATCAAGCGCGGCCTGTGATTGCGGACCTCACGCCAGACCACTTGGCACGCAGCAACTGCAGCAATGTCAGTGCAGCAGTACAGTACGGTAATTCAGGCTACCAGACATCAAGACCATGAGTTTCAGAAATGCGGCGACAGCCTCACTCCACGACACAGCGAAATTCAAACGGTGGCTGCACTGGCAAGCCGGGGCTGGCGTAATGGGAAGCAGTGCGAGGTTGGTGGTGGCACTTGAAGCGGGCGCGAATGCGCAGCACGAAGAATGGAACGGTGTGGGCACGGATAGGGAGCAGGTGATGATGCCAGTGAGCATTTGCAGCGGGGCCTGTGTCTCGGCTTTCCAGTACCCTGGTGCGTGGCGGTTTCTAGCGTCGGAGTGCTGCTTGCCACGGAGTGCACATATCCGCAGTGTCACGGCAGACTGCCTGGTTCAGAAGGGCTGATGAGCTTTTGTCAGACCTGCAAACCGACATCACACATCCCTGCCGGGCCAGCGTGAAGGTACCAGACTGGCGTCGCCCTGTTGGCCCGCTGTGCTGGCCCAGTGCTGTGCGCCCAAAACAGGCCGGTGCGTTGCTATCTAGGGGGTGGTCCGAAGCATGTAACGAATAATGTGACCCTTTCGGCGCGTCATCATTTCAGCGTCTAGAGTGATAGGGCCCAGCTTCTTCGCGGAGGGTGGCATCTCTCCCTTTGCGACCGCCGAAAGCCCAACAAGGCATGATACACGGGTGATTTGTCTCCATAAACATTTATTTACACGAGGATCCGTTGCCGCTTCGTGTCACCCGCGTTGTGCTCCAGATCAGCGGCCGACCCAGCCACACACAGCGCCCGCTCGCGCCCGCCTCGACTGCTTGTCGTGTTCAGGACCTCAGGGAATTATGAGGGTCTCTCGCGTCTCCATGCTGCTGTTTGCCGCCCTGGCGGCGGTGGTGCTGGCACCCAGTGGCACCCATGCGCGCGGCCTCCTGCAGGCCCAGGTGGGCTGAGGCCCCAGGTGGCATGAATGCTAGCGCTATGATTGCCAGGCGCGTGGTGCATCGGCCTCGAGCCAGCTGGTGTCACCCGGATCTCGACACCCCGCAGTCACCCCAGGCCGGCCAACTAATTCACGCACCAACCCCCCACGTCGCCCACACGCTTCCCAGGTCTGCGTCCTGCCCGCAACCGTGGCGCCCACGTCCCAGGTCCTCGTCGGCGGCTCCATCACGACCCCCATCGCGGCCAAGGTCCGCCCCACCTCCTCCACCACCTTTAGCGGGTCGTTCGCCATCGTCTTCCCGGCGCCCTGCCCCACCGCCGCCACGCTGGCCGCGGCCCTGCCCAAGGCCTACATCGCCACCGTCAAGGGCTCCCCCGGCGTGAGCCTCGCTGACACCAAGGCAGTCGTGACCATGGGCACGCCGCCCACTGTCGTGGCCAACGTGCTGGTGGGGGGCCTCAAGGGCACCACCCTCTCCGCGGTCGGCCCCGCCGGCGTTGCCGCGCCCACCGTCACTGCGACTGCCGGCACCGTCACCACCACCAACAGTGTGGTGCCCATCAAGCCCTACAGCCGTGAGCGCCTTTGTGCGGGCGAGACACAAGTGGTTTGGGGCTCGCGCGCCACGTTCAGCAAGCTTGTGCGCGCAGGGTCACTCCCATGGACAGTTAGCAGCCGGTGCTGGCCTGCACGGCAGTTCGCATGCGCTGCTTTTTCACCATGTTGAACCCACCAAAGCTGGCTTTGCTCAGCCGCACAGGCTATGGCTGGCTCTTGCAGACCCCAACTCACTCGTCCTTCCGCCCCCTCACAAACTCGACAGTTGCTGGCCAGTCCATGCTCATCGCCGGCACTGGTTGCACCCTCGGCGCCACCGGCGCGACGGTCACGTTCTCGTGCCCCAAGCTGTCTGTAGCGCAGACCCTGAACCTGGATGTTGGCTCCGGCGTCAAGGGTGGCGGCAGCCTGGCGATCCAGGGGTCCCTGACTGCCACCGGCAAGCTCAGCGATGCCAAGCTGGTTCCCGCCAGCACCGTCCCGGCGCCCAAGGCGTAAATTGGTGCTCGCAGCGCAGAATCAATCGTGGCCGGAGCGACCGCGTGCTCATGACAGAGCTCTGCACATGTGGCAGCAAGTGCCGCTTGTGCAGCCCGTTCAAGCCTGTCACCCTTGGTTTAGGCCCCATGCAGCTCGCAACGCAGGCAGTTTGGGTGTAGAGTGTCTAGAAGGTCCGTCAGTCAGAGCAAATGGCAGGGCACTGACCCAATTCTGCAGGGCACTGACCCGACTATGAAGCTGAAGGGGGTGGTGATGGTTGTCTATCATCGCAATCGCACAACACTGTGAGAGCATCCGCATAGGGGCTGTCTGTATGTGGATTAAGCTTGCTGGATGCCTGTGCTGAAACTTGACTCGTACAGTGCCAATGTAAATGTGATCACTACGTGCGCAAAGTGGTATTGTTGAGAGGAAGTTGACTGGGAAGTATGCGAACGGCCCGCTGACAGTGTGCCGGAAAAGGAGGGCAGCGGCCAAGCGCTGTGACAGCGCGGAGCCCTTGCTGCAGTTCTTACTCAGCATTTCCCCAAAAAAGCCAGTACAAGGTGGATTTTTACTTTGTCTAAGGGTCACATAAAAGTATCAAATACATGCGAGGATGTGCACTTCTGCATGCCGCAGGACATGGACGCCGTCAACCTGCAATCTCTTTGAAGTCTGTTGTTGTCATCCAGCTTCCTCAAAGTCAAATTGCTTTCTCCAAGTCATTACAATTGCTGGGTAGTGGAGCAGCTGCGCTTTGCAGCAGCTGCTGGTCGACGCCTGCCGCGTGCTCTAGTCCAAGCACTGGTTGTACCGTTGATATTCGAATGTCGAGCATCACATGATGGCGCAGCAAAACTTGTCCACAGCCCGGTGCATCGCCTGCCTGACGCGGCCGGTGGTGTGGTGGTGTACCTGATAGCGGACGGCCTGCCCAGGGTGCGCCACGTGGTGCGCGAAGCGCTCCGCCTTGCGCACAACTGTTGCAAACGTAGAGGAAGGAAGCATTGGAAGCCAAGGGCTGTCTGGCAGGGGCAGGTAGGCAGGCCACAAAGCTTGCAGGGGTATCCTGCAGGGGCCCCATTCGAGCAACACCACGCAGCCTCACCCTTTTGATTGTTGCATCAAGCACCAGAGCCAGCACGGCACAGCTTCAATGCTGGACCTCGTCAGCCCTGAATGCAGTCAGCGCTGCAGCAGACTCACAGTTGGTACCCTGCTGCAGCTTGTCGCCCAGGCCCCGAGAAGCTGCCTCGTCTGCTGCCAGTCCGCTAGGCATGGGCGCCTCTGCTGTGCTGCCCACCCCGCTGACTGCGCTAGGATACCCGGGCGGCGGCGGTGCATGCGATAAAGATGCCTGGGGGTATGAACTGGGTGCAGCGGCTGGCGGGGCTGCGCAGGGCGCCTGGCTGTTACTTGGGTACGGGGTGGCCGAAGCGCTATCAGTGCCGATGGCGCCCACCAACGGGTAAGCTGCACTTGTGGCTGTGGAGCCTGAGGGATGCGAATATTGTTCACGCATGACAATTGCTAATCGCGTAGTTGTCTTGAGAGCCTTAGTAGCGGCGAAGCAAAGCTGCAAGATCACATCCGTATCGTTAGCAGAACTGTGCCGCTGCGCAGTTGTATGTGCATGGAGATATATGTGCATGCGCACTGCGACCTGCGCGTGCAGGTCATTGCAGCGGCTTGCGACCCTCCCAGAGCAACCCGCGCCCAGCAGCTGCCAAGAAGATGAGTACGGTAGAGTGCACGGAGACAGGACCTGGCAGGCTCTACATGGCTGTGCAGTGAGCGGCGGACTGGGTGATTTAACCAGACTTTTACATCGTTGCCCCAGTGCATGAACAAGGACAGCAGCCAGCATGTGGGCGCTTGACTGTAAGACGATTTAGAGCTGGTGATGGCAGTGCTTGATTGTTGCATGTGCTTGTGCCAATGGGATTACTTTGCTTGCTTGCTTCATTCCAGTGTGCATGGCATCATTGCACTCTCAAGGGTGTCGATTCTGTCTGAAGTGGCCGCACAGTTTTGCATTAAATTTTCCCGCTCCCACCAGGTGGTCCGCTAGCAACTGCAGTGCACACGGCTCGAGAGCAGGAACCCCGCCCTCACAAGCTGTACGCGCAATCGCGGGCTGTTGTGAGCTCTCATATCCCCCAGAGCGTCTTGATTTGCTGCTTCAGGAGTGGCAGTAAGAGGCCAGGAAAGATGACGGTTGACGAGCGCTTGCCTGCCGGTGGGAAGTGGTGCCTCTCTATTGCAATCCAAACAAACATATCATGCTAGATGCTTGAGGTTTTTGAGCCGGGGCAGTTTGATGCTGTGACCATGCAGTGAAGTCAACGTCCCTACAGTATGCAGTGTCTCAGTGGGCACTCCAGGTAGGGGCACCCCTACCTTGATACTTGCACTGACTCACGCAGGATACTCGGCCTACGGCGTCAAGCGTGCGCGAGTTGTGTGTATCGTGACGCTTCACGTTCATGCTCTCAGCCGTACCGTGTGCATCGCCGGCTTGATCGAAAATAAATGGGCAGCTTCGTCCGTGACCACCACGGACTGACACACCGCCACGGGTTGCCGCTGGTGCCGGCCCTACCTTTGCAATGACTCTTGAATATATCTCACTCTTGCCGTGTGCGGTGTGTACGGTGGGTGGCCACTCCAGGCCACACGGTGATCGAAGTTACCTCGTCGCTGCATGCAGGTTACGACGGCCTTTGCTTGAAACTCAACCCTCAAGAGAAAACCAAACCCCTTGCCGCACGCCAGCACACTCCAGCCGCCGCAAGTGGACGGTGCGGTGTGCCTGTGGTTTGTCGGCTGGGCATCCCCTCAGCCTTCAGGAGCAGACGCCGGGCAGAAGCAGCGGCTTCAAAGCAGCGGCGCAAGCAGGATCAACATCAGGCGTAAGGCCGGTCGCCGTAGCGATGGCGGCGGCGCTGTGGGCGTCATCGTACGCTGATCTGCTTGCCGCGGCCGACAGTCGCTGGCCCCCAGCAGGCACGGAACAGCAGCGGCAACTCAATGCACTCGCGCGTGCGGTGATTGATCAGAACAACAAGGGCAAGGCAGCCCAGCAGGGGCCTGCCACCAAGCCCATTGCAGGGCAATATGCGATAGAGCGCGGCCACGCCGGCAACCTTCTGAAGGCTTGGGCGGCGCGAGCAGGGGGCGCCAGCGGAGAAGCTGCAGACACAACGGTCCCAAGCCTGAATAATGTTCTGCGGCAGCAAGAAGCAGCAGGCTTCTTCAGCAGCAGTCCCAGCCCAGTCAAATCCGGGGTCGTGCTGCTACACCTGGACATCTTCCGGCTGCTGTCAGTGAGGGCGGGCCCAGCAACTGTACACCAAAACGGTGTATGGTCAGGGCCGACGACCCCACCTGCAGCTGCCCTCATCGGCGGCGGTGGCAGCAATGGGGCCAGCAACGCTGGCGGCATAGGCAACAGCAGAGGCGGCGAAGCTGCCCCGCATTGGGCGGTTTCCTACAATGAGCTGACCGCCGCTGCCGATAATCAGTGGCCTCCAGCTGGCACTGAGCAGCAGCAGCAGCTTAACGTGCTCGCCCGCGCGGCGATAGACCACTACCACACGAGCGCTGCGGGGCAGGGCGCGACAGTCAGCGCGGCACCGGACGCGAGCGGCCACTACGTAATGCCCTTAACACTGGCCGGAGACAAACTCAAGCTCTGGGCCATGCGGCAGTCTGGAGGCGCTGGTGTGGTGGGGCTGCGGGTGCGAAACGTACTCTCGTACCAGCAAGCTGCTGGGCTGCTCAGCCGACACCCCAGCTCGGCACATGCAGCAACGGGTATTCTGTGTTTGGATGTGGCGCAGCTCGTGGGCGCGGACAGGCTGACCCAGGCCTGCATGGCAGCAGCGTCGGCGGCGTCGGGGGCGTCTTCGGCGGCGGCGGCGTCGGGGGCGGGCACGGCATCGAAGCAGCAGCAGCGCACCTACGTGGCAGTGCCATGCGTCCGCAACGCCCCCGCGGCTCAAGGCGCAACGGGCGGCGCAAGTGTTGCACCTGCCTGCGCTGCGCAGGCGCAGGTGCGCCCGGATGACAGCCTGCTCGCCCTGCCCCCGGCCCCTGGACCCCTGGCAGCTCCCCTCAGCCTATCCGGTCAGTCACTGCAGCTGCCGCTGCCCTTGAACGGTGATGACGCCGAATGGTGCAGCGCAAACGTGGTGGTGGTGGAGGACGCCTCAGGCTGTGAAGCGATGCTACAACACCTGCGGGGCTGTGGCTACATGGGGCTTGACACGGAGCACGCAGATGACGATGAAGCGTCTGGAAATGACAGCATCGCCGCTCGCAACCCACAGCAGCGGACCGGCAAACTGCATCGTCCCACAGCCGCCTCTGGTCGGCAGCTGCCGCGCCCACGGCGCCTGGCATTGCTCCAGATCGCCGCGCCGCAGGTTCACGAGCGGCTGTCTGGCCCAGGCTCAGCGGCCACGCTGTACCTTGTCGACGTGCTGCAGCCGACGGCGGCCGCGGTGCTGGCGGAAGGCGGTGAGCTGAGGGCGCTGCTGGAGGATGGGACTGTGACCAAGGTGGTGCACGACGCCAGGGAGGTGAGTGGAGACAACCAGGCTATCAGATGGCTCCAGGGGCAGTATTTTTGTGAGCGATCTGCTCTGGCTGCCGTCCCCCTGCAAATTGCTCAACACAGAATGGTATGCGAGCACATCAAACACTCCCTGGCTCCCTACCCCCTCCCTTCTTCCCTCTTCCAACTGCCCCTGCCCTCTTTCACGTGTCACTGTGCACACTCGCATACGCAAACACACATGAGCGGGCATGCACACGAGAAGACTCACACCCACACCCGCTCACACTCACATGCCCCTGCAGGATGCCGCCATACTGCAGCAGCAGTTTGCCCTCCGCCTGGCCGGCCTCTTTGACACCCAGGTCGTATTCGGCCTCACCAGCCTGGCAGCCGCGGCAACCCAGCCCACCGCAGCAGGCCCACACAGCACTGGAAGCAACGGCGCCACCCCAGAGCCTGAGCCCCCCAGCAGCAGCAGCGGCAACAGCAGCTTCCAGCTACGCCGTATCGGCCTTGCTGCACTGTACGAGCGTTTTGGCTTTCCCCACCCAAACAAGGCTGCGGTGTCTGCCAAGTTTGACAGGCAACCAAGGTGCGGAACCCTGCATATTCAGGCCTGCCGAGGCCACATATCCCATGGTCCCAGCTGCCCTTGACGCTCAAACATGGAACTTGCCACACGTTCTCGCGTCCATGCCCCTTTCAATCGCTTGCACGACAGCAGCTGCTCGGCTGGGTTTCTCACCGCAACACTGACTGAGCTGCTCATTTGCCACCACCACCCCCAAACCCACAGGCTCTGGCTGCAGCGGCCACTGACGGAAGATCTGATTGAATATGCCGCCTCGGACGTGCGCTACCTCGTGCCCCTCGCTGCCCGCCTGCGCGAGTGCTTCGCCGCGGAGGCCACGGTACACCTGAGCACGCTGCACGCGCGCGTCATGGGCGGGCCGCCGCCGGAGCTTACGCCCGACACGGCCACAGGCTTTGCCGCCATGCTGTGTGATGGGGGCGACCACGCCGTGTTCGAGCTCTCAGTGGATGCGGATGGCGTGCCGACCTACATGCTCGCGAGTGGCGCTTGCGGCAATGACAGCCGCGGCAGCAGCGACGGCAGCGGCGACGAGGGCGGCAGCGACAGCGGCGGTGATGGCGGCACCGGCAATAGCGGCGGCGGCGGCGGCGGCGGCGGCGGCGGCGGCAACGGCAGCACCCTGGTTGCGTCGGCCGCACCAGCGGGCGCAGACATCGAGTTGGAGGAAGAGGATGAGGGGGTATCCTCGTTGCTGGCGCTGATGCCGGCGAGGTGGGCCCAATCGAGGTGGAAAAAGCAAGGGCTGCCTCAATGCAGGGACATGTCATGGTCGCGCATGGCATGCAAGTTGCGTTGCGTGCAGCTCGTCTCAGACCAGCAACGTCGCCGTTTGCATGCCGCTTGCAATTCGGCGCGCCCGTGCAACATAGGTTGTTTCCTTCGCTTTGCTCGGCCCAAGGAGCCCTCCCGTCGCACTCCCCTGACAGGCTCAAGCCGCACCTCCAGCCTTACGCCATGCGGCGGCGCGGGGCGCCCCTCCTCAGGGAGCTGCTGCTTCACGGCCACGAGCGCCCTGCGAGGGTGCGGCTGAGCGACGGGTCCGCGTTTGATCTGCCGAGTCGCGTGCCGCTGAGCGAGGCGCTTGCGGCCCTGCGGGACGCCAAGCAGCGAATGGGTGCGGGCCAGTATGGGACACAGGAAGCTGCCGGGCCGGGCGGCAACAGCGGCAGCCAGACAGACAGCCTCGGCAGCCTGCATGGCTGGCTGCATCGCCAGAAGCCGCAGCCGTCGCAGAAGGCGCAACAGGTGGACGGCAGGACCGCCGGGATCTTTGACCAAGACAACAGGATGGCTCTTCCAGGCAGCCTGCACCGCATCAGCGCTGCCGCAGGCCGCGACGGCAGCGTCACCGGCCTCACCTTCCGCGTCGGCCGCCACTTGCCAGGCGCTGCGGCCCCGCTGCGAGACCTGCTCGCGCACTTAGCGCAGGTGCACCGCGACGCAGCCACCGGGGCGGCCTTCGGCGGCAAGCTGGGTGGCAGCGCGTCGCTGCTGCTGCTGGGGCGGCCGGGGAAGGGCAAGACGACGCTGCTGCGGGACGTGGCGCGGGTGTTTGCCGACGACTTGGGCCTGGCGGTGGTGGTCGTGGACACGAACAACGAGATTGCGGGGGACGGGGCAGACCCACACCCCTGCATTGGCAGCGCAGTGCGGCTGCAGGTGCGTGCGCTGATTGGCCCAGCCGGCTGCTGCAGTGTTGGTCGACCGCAGACCTTGGTCGCGGCGTCTTCAGCAAACACGCGTTTTTGGGGAAATTCCACTTGACTGCTGCTTACCTCATTCAGTGTAGCTCGCGCACTGCTCTCAGGCTTGCTGGACGCCGGTATGTTCAACAGCTGTGACCACTTGCTCACCCGCCCGCCACGCACACCAGGCCCCCTGACGACAGCGGCAGCGCCGCCGCATCCTCCCTGGCTTCCCCCTCAACAGGTGCCCCACCACAGGAGCCAGGCCAAGGTGATGCTGGAGGCAGTGCAAAACCACGGCCCTGACGTCATCATCGTTGACGAGATCGGGTCAGCAGAGGTGGGCACGCACGTGATTGCCTTGGATTGGGGGCAAGCGGCAGAGGGTGCCGCGCAAGGAGCCGGTACCTCCCTTTTGCATGCGCCTGTCGCTGCGTTGTCGCGTGTACGTAGTGGTCGCACGAGTTCCAGCGTCCGTTCCTGGCGCTGGCGGCAGGCGGACTCTCAGACACCAGCTGCAATCAGGCTGCAAATGCGGATGCAAACCGCCCGCCCTCTATGTGGCGTTCATCTCAGCCGCCCCACACCTGACCCCATGAATGGCCTGACACATGGCTCAACCTGACTCTCTGCAGGAGGCCAAGGCCGCGCGCAACATAGCCCACCGCGGCGTCATCCTCGTCGCCACCGCCCACGGCGCCACCCTCTCAGACGTCCTGAGCAACCCCGACCTCTCACGCCTGGCCGGCGGACTGCAGTCTGTCATCCTCGGCGACCAGGCGGCCGCGCGCACGGCCGACGGTGCCAAGACGCGGCTCGAGAGGGCGGGGGCGCCTGTGTTCCAAGTGCTGATCGAGCTGAAGGAGCGAGGCAGGTGGCGGGTGCACCTGTCGGTGGAGGGCAGCGTGGACCGGCTGCTAGAGGGGCGGCCGGCGGATGTGCAAGTGAGGACATGGGAGGTGGCCGGCCACGGCGACAGTGGCGGTCAGTCCCCACCGCGCGTGCTAGTGGAATTTGATACGGGCGGCGCGGCGATGCAAGCGGCGGCCGCAGCTGCCGAGGCCAAGGCGGCGGCGAAGGGGGGCAGGGGCGGCGGGGAGGACGGCGGGGCGCCGCTGCAGTTCCGCAGGCGGTTTGCTCAGGAGTTTGAGGGCGGGTGGATTGTTGACCTGGTGCAGCGCGCAGGGGCAGCAGTGGCGCTGCGCAATTGATACAAGTGTGTTGCGAGCTTTGGATCAAGTTGATGAACGTGCATTGTGGTGACGGTTGTTGTGCGCAGCCGCCCGCATGCTTGTGGACAATGCATTGCAGGCTAAATTGTAATTATTTAAGATTGACGGCTCGCTTGCACGTGGAGCAGCCTCCCAGGCCCCTACCAAGCCGCGCAACTGTGCCCCCTGAGGCGCAGACAAAAGGCATTATTGAGCAGCAGGCTGTCAAGCATATGTTACATGCCTGCAGCAGGCGGTTGCCGCACACAACCTGCCGGCCGGGCGGAGCCGCATGGCGCGCGTCAGTTGAGCAGTCCATACTTGTCAGCAAAGCTGTACTTCAGCAACGCAGGGCGGTGTTAGAGCCTGCGCCCTGCATCCATCACGCGGTATGACACACAGCGTTTGAGCAGCTGCATCTGGTGAGATGATGAGCTCTGCGTGTAAGCCTTGGCACTGTTTAGACAATCTTGGCCTTGAGACCAAGCATGCCATTGGGCAAAAACGAGACACGCTGACCAAAAAGCAGTGCTTCAACCCGAAAGCAACGAGCGCACGCAGGCACCGGCGGGTGCGCAGCAAAAGGCGGGATCAAAGGGGCGCGAGGGGCTGCGCGGGGCCAAGGGACACATACATGGTGCGGGGA